TTTTATCACTTTTATTTTTTATTATTATTTTCTTTCTGACGAGACGGACACATAGAAAAAGATTTACAATGTGGCAACCTATCGCAGACACAGACACACGTGCGCATATATTAAATTAAAAGAAAAAGAAGCTAGGAAGACAGAGAAAGAGGTGTGGGGTTTGGAACTCGATTGGTGGTTTGTACTGGCAAGTGATGCGATGGTTTTGGCTGGTGGGTGGTTGTAGGATGGGCGGAGCTGGTGGTGGTGGCTGATGTTGGATAAAGGGGTGGATATCCACACAGAACTGGATTGACAAACCAGAACCGGCCAACGCCGGCCGGAGTCCTCTCTTTCCATGGCAGTGCAAGTTTGGAAACTTCTTTTGATTTGTTAGAAATGTCATAAGAAGTCGGGGAAGTGAATTTGATCCGAAGCCATCACAATCTTGATTCTGACTAGAGTATATATACTTCCTAGTTTATAATTAGTGAACTTACGTTTAGTGACAGCAATTTGAATCATTAAACTTGTTGTACTCATCAAGTAAAAATTGATACAAGCAAGACTAAATATAACACAAATCGACCAAATATATCTATATCAAACCTCTCTCTCTCTCGTGAACTCTCCAGGACTCCCTCTCTCTGTGGTGAACTCCTACATATTCGATATCTTTCTCTCTCCTCCTCTCAGAGTGTTTGAATAGTGAATTTTCTCCTACGAATTCTATTGATTTTTCACCGGCGACATCCTTCTCTCTCGTCCAGATTGTGAGCTTCACATACTCAAAACATCTCTGTTCAAATTCACCCGAACATTCTCAAACATTGAATTTTCTCTTAGATCTCGCTCCTTCAAATTTGTTAATTTGTGTATTTGGGATCTAGCATCCGGCAACTCTGACTATCTCAGGTAGTTTCAAAGATCCCGATGACTTCAATTTTGTGTCAAACAAGTCTTTTGATCCAAATTTAGCTCCCTCGCTTTCGTGGCAGTTTGGTGATTATCCAACTGAGTATGTCTTGTTATTGAGCTTTCATTTGTGAATTTAACTGAGTATATGAATCTCATTCGTGAATCCGAATTTAAATACACTCGTTTAAATTTCGATTGTAACACTCATGTTTAAATTACTGGTTTCAGACATAAACACTTAAACAAGACTCAAGTATATTTTTTGCTTACATGTTTAAATTAAATGTTTAATTACTAGTTTGACTACATACGTTCTACTTTCTCATCTCTCCCTCGATCTCCTTCAAACAAATCTTATAAATGTACCACTCATAATCATAAATGTTTAATCATGAGTTCTGTACACGTATTGATATTATCAATTGAATTATGTTTTCGAATAGAAATTTATCGAAATTTTATTAAAGATAACAATTGATTTATATCAATTGGTACGATAAGAAAATTTATAAATTCTATATATTTGTGTTCAAATTTTTTGAGTTATGTTTTTAGAGATAATTTTGTACATTTTTTTTATATTCATTGACTCTAGATACTTATTGTTATCATTATGTGAACTAATTTTTTCTCTTGTTGATATTCAATTTTTTTTTCGTCGTACAATGTCTTTAAACACAAGCAATAACTAGTATAGTTAATGTTATGACTCGAATCCAAAATGACAAGATAATGAAATGAATAAACTTTAACACAACACTACTTAGACTAAACACAAAAACATCGCCAGCTTGGTTGACTTGTGCTTAACCATCCAATGAGCTGCTTGGTTGATCTTTCGACAAATAAAAAGAAAATCACATGGTGGAAACTATCGGTTGTACCTGCTTCTACATCCCACATCCATTAAAGCTCACCAAATGGTAGACCTCTTAAACGATTGGAGTAACTTGAGCTTATGCTTCGTTTGATTTTGGCTCTTCTAAATTAGCAAATAAAATGATTATGATTAAATTTTTAAGCTCGGTTTGTGAGATTTTTATTGAAAAATCAATTACTTTAAGATTGATTAATAATTTTCAAGGTTTGATTTTTAAGATTTTTTAGTGAGAAGTATAACTCAATTTTCAAATCGACTGCTTGCATACTTTTGCTTAGTCAGGCTTAAACAAGAAGTAGTCACAACCGATTCAAATTTAAATATATTTAAGTTTATCAAATTGAACTCGATTAATCTATAATATATAAAAGAGCGGCTTCAACAAGTTTATGCTACGGTCTTAAATTCATTTATCTAACGGTCAAAAAATTACCTTCTTTTCCCTCCAATTAGTCAACAATTACGGCTGATTTTGGACACATCTTACGATCTCAAATTCATTCATCCAACAGTTAAGAAATTATCATTTTTTCCTTAATATTTCCCCCCAAATCAGTCAACGATTACGACTGATCTTGGAACACATGATTTTCTTTAACATAATAATTAAATGAGTTAAATTTGTCATTAATATTATTTGTGTAGTGTAACATTATGAATTTTTATAAGACACATTAATAACATTTTGCTTAAAAAAAACTCATCAATTTAACAAATAAAAAAAACATGGGCACTACTTAACACTTTTATATTGAATATAATTAATTTTGATTTTATTTATTTATTTAATTATCTCAAACCAACATATCTTACACGTATCTTGAATCAAAAATTCAGGACTAATTTTTTTTTATTCTTAAAAAAATTCAACGCTAATATATTTTTATAAAATAATAATTTTGTAATAACTTTGTACTAATTAAAAAAATAATATTTTATAAATGATATTTATAGAACTTTTTTTGATAGAACATATTTGGCAATATACTTTTTAATAAATTAGAAATTTAATTTATATTAGATTTGACTCGATTTTGATTGCATGTATATAAATTAATGTTCGATTTTGATTACATGTATATAAATTAATTTTTTTTAAAGTCTATTCTATCATATTTCATGGATTTATCTATAATATAAAACAAGAAAGACTTCAATAAGTTCATCTGATCGTCTAAAATAAACTCATCCAATGACCACCAACATCGCTCTGAAAATTATTCAAATTAAATTTTACCTTCATCTTTTCACCCTTCACACACACACACACACTCTCTCTCTCTCTCTATGGCAGTGGCAGATAGAGGAGGGGGTTTAGGACCACCCTGAATTTATTTATTTTTTAGTTATATATGTTTTATATATTTTTTTGGATATTCTTAATTGGACCCGTTGTGATGATTTACACACTCCCTTGCGTTGCACCGTGCCTTCAGGCACGGGGTTATTCATAGTATATTTATATACTAGATTAGACATTTGATGATTAAATTTATAATTATATTATGTCATTTGGGATTGAATGGTGATAGTGGTAATAAATTCATGAGTTTTATAAACGAGCAAAAATTTGTGGATTTTATTTATTGCTTAAAAATTGTGAATTTAATTTTGTTGTGTTAATTTTTTTTTTTAGGTATTTATTACATGGAGAATAGGGTGGATTTGAAGTTTGATGGTTGAATTTATAATTATATTGTTGAATTAGGTGGTGGTAGAAGTGATAAATTCGTGAGTCTTATAAATACACAAGGTTTTATTGATTTTACTTATTGCTTAAAAATTGTAAATTTCAATGTGTTATGTAAGTATTTATTTTTTTTGAGAGCTATTATAATATATAGTGTTGTTTTGAGAAGTTTTTTTTATCTTTTTATTAAAATTCTATTAATATGGACGATAATGTCGACGACATATTTCAAGCCATTTTTTAAAAAAAAAATTGGTGTAAATATTTTTAGGTCATTATTTTTTAATTTGGGTAATTGTTTAATATTTTTTTTATTTGTTATACAATGTCTTCAAGTATGGGCAATAACTAGTAATATACTAAATAGTCAATATTAACCATTGAATTTACAGACATAATTTGTTAATTTAATTCATCATAAACATTGAATTGATTGCATTCCCTAATAAATATTGGAATTAATTGTAAATTCAATGATTAGAAATGATTAAATTAATAAATTATATTCAAATAACATTTTTTTTAATCACTTAATCCATCTTTTGATTTGACCAAAACTGCAATGAACTTGGGCCCACTGAAATGGTTCTCATGGGCTGCCAAATGGTTGTATTCCTTTTGCCATCCCGGGTACAATTGTTTTCCAAGCTGGATTTAGGTAGGATTGGGTTGAAGGACTGGACTTTATACACGGCCCAATATAAAGTTTATACTTTTGATCCATTTGATAAGGTGGATGAAAAAAATAGAATGATACAATGTGAGAAGAAGTATACAATATGCTTTCTATTCAAAAGGAAGAATCCTTCCTTCCCTCCTTTATGTTTGGTAAGAGGGAGAAAGTATGTAAGATAAACTTTTTTGTGTTTGATAAGATGGAAAAAATATTTTTTTTTATTTTTTATTTTTAAATTTTTTATTAAAAAAATATAAATACTTATTTTTTTCTTATATGTATATATAAAATTAATGTATACATAATATGTAATTGATAAATATGATATCTGTATATATCAAATGACATGACAAATAACATACATTTTAACACATATAATTAATTTTCTATCCACTTTCCTCCCAATTTTGGAAGGATTGAGTTTGGTGAGTTAGAGAGAAAGTTAATTCATCCTTCTTATTTTCTTTCTTTACCAAACATGATATTTTATCTCTTCCTTACAACTTTTCATCATTCTATTTTCCCATCGTACCAAATGAAACATTAGTTAAGGTAAAGTAAGTGCATTACTTAGCATCGATACAACTCGATCTATAACCAAAATAGAATAAGCAAACATTACCAATTCGATGTACAACATCAATTTGGATTAAGTGTTGAATTTGAAATTACAATTATTCTCAAATCTGAATAAGCTAATTTTTTTATTGAAATTAAATGAAATTTGGTTGAAATGTTAAGAATAACTTTAAAATATGTATAACCTTTTGTTTGCCTCCACCACTATACATACGACCACCACAACCACCACTTAAAGGACTACCTCCCTACCATTGCAATTCACCATTCCATCGCAGTCGCCACCAACAACAACCTCCACATTGTTAGCACTGCCGACACCATACCCTTACCATGCCCCCACCTCCACTACACCATCATTAATATATTTTCATCCACCACCACCAGCTGCCCACCAAGATTGCTTGCACTATCTATGCTGCCACACCAGAGGTGCAACAATGGTGATGTGAGTGAAGTGGTGGTGGTGGGTGGCGATGATTTCTATTATTTGGACTAATTTAGGAATTTAGTTTATTGCAATAAGATATATTTATTTGTTTGTGCATGGCATGAAATATGATTAAGTTTTCTATTTGTTTTTTTTTTGTTGTCAACAGTACCTTCAAGCATGAACAATTTCTAGGTCATGAGAACATTTTCAACCTTTACCAAAATCTTGACTCATGTTTAAATTTGAGTGCAAATATACTAAAGACAAATTTCAATCCTTTACTCAAATTCATACAAAATTAAGTAAGACCCAAATTTATATTCAAATCAAGGGAGACTATACCTCCTATGCACACAACACAAAAAGACAATTATTCTATTCTTGTCATACAATGATTATTCGATCCTTTTTTTCATCTCTAGTTATTTTAATCTGTAACTTCAATGAAATCAGAATAGTTCCCTTCAATGGTATACTACTTTCATTAGTACACTTAATTCTTTACTCAAATTTTTAATTGTCAGATTTCACTCTTTTAAAAATTTAATGGTCATATTTCAGCCACTTATAAATTTTGGGTTTGATCTCATTTAAATTTGAGTTTATCCATTATAGTACATTGTATATCAAATCAATTATGAGAGAGAGTGCTCTAGAAGCCCTCCCTCCCTAGGTACTAAATTCTATCAATTTTGACTTATTTAATACAAATACATAGGCCCTTTCCAATTATACTCTTCAATGTGGCTTATGTAACTATTACCATCATCTTTGCTAACTATCCTATATTTGAATTTTCCACTATCTTCGTTAATTATTTCACACTTAAATTTTTTAAATCATCTATTTAGCATATTAATGTATATTTTCCATTAATTTCAAGGGGAAGGAGGAGAGTTGACAAAGTGTGGATCAGAGACGAAACGAGGATTTTATTTTGAGAGGAGCCAACAACAACATAGATAAAAATTTAATTCAATAGGTTTATTCAACGGCTATTGTCAATGATAAATTTTTATTTATAAAAAAAATAATAAATTTAATTTTTATACAAAGACATCAAAATAATTATTTTTGAACACAAAACTCAAAAGTGGTTCATACTATCATAAAATTTCAACGGTCATTGTCATTGATAATCTCTTCTCTTTTTTCTTTTTTATAAGATAACCTTATGTCTCTAAATAAAACAAGGTCGCAAATAATAGTTTTATAAGATACCATAATAAAAATGAATTATAAGTCAACTAACTGGTTTTGATATAAAACATATTTGTATCCCTATTTTTATTTATTTTTTGTCTACTACGTCATCAAAATAATCTAACAAGTGTTTTTGTCAGTACAAATAACACTCATCCATGTGATTACATTCTAAATGGTTACTAAATATTAAGTTCTTGATTTTTTTAAAAACACTAGGTGAGATACTTACACATTGAGTGTGTGTTAAAAAGTTAGAGGTTAATAATAAACTTTTTAAAAGTATAAGGGGATAATGAAAATTTTTAAAATTTGAAGGGGGAGGGGGCATCGTCCCCTTAGGCCTTCTCATAGTTCCATCTCTGGTGTGGGTGACGGTAATGGTGACAGTCAAAAATATTATAATTTATGTGCATTGCACAGATCGATCACTAGTATGTATGTGTATTAAACTTTTTACAAATATATATTGTGCTCACCCTCATACGAAAAAAATGGTCATGATAATGTTATAACCATGTTTTAGACATGCCCAGACCAATTTTGGACATATAGAAGGTCATTTGTAAATTTTATTAAAAAACATGGGACCCTTTAGTTATCATATATAACTTAGCTAGGGTTATAGTATAGTGTTTTTAATACATAATTTTTTTTTGTAAGTATTTGAAAGAACAAGATAACTACACAAAATGACAAAATATATGAACTTCAACAGACTCCATACAAAAGTATGTTTGCCCGATGATGAGATTATTTTCACTAAAGAAAATAAAGGGACTGATGGAGAGAGTTAGTGAGAATTGATACATAAGAAGAGGTCATGGCTATGCAATTTTGTTGTGATCTGTGACTTATTTTTATTTGAGTGTAGGGTGTATTAAAGAGTCATATTAGATAAAAATATTTTAAAACGGGTTTATATTGCATTTAGATGTTAAAAATCACTTCGTATTATATGTGGGATTAACTAGATAAGTATCACATTCAGATAATTCTAATACAATCTATCCGTACTATTGAGCTATTATATTGTTATTTTACAATTGTACTCTCGGTCTAAGAAAAATTCAAGTGAACATTCCTTCTTATTTATTTTAATAAAAATTACATTGATATTCTTACTTTATAACAAATCAACCTTAACTTTTTTACAATGACCCGACGTCCTCCTCATATGAACAACCTGTAAAAGATGCACCTCATTTGTCGTTCACATAGATAATAATAAACAACGACATTAATAATAAACAAATAAATATATCCAAAATACACTTTTACTATTTTTAAAGCATGCTTATTTAATTCCAATATTATTTAAAAACATACATAATATGTAATATTTACATAACTTTTGGTTCTACTGAAATAATCCTACCAAATATTCGATCATTAGTAAATTGCTCGTGTTGAAGACATTATTTATCCAAAAAACCCACAAACCAGTGTTTTAAAACCCGGTCCAGCCCAGCAGGTTGACCCGATGTACTGGAGCCTGAACCGGACGGGTTGCTTGGAATGCTATAAAAGGAGGTTCCAGGCATTTTTGCCCAAATTCATTCATCTTTGCCTCTGTTTCTCATCGTCTCCAACGAGGAGACTGGTCACCCCACCCCCACCCTCTCTCTCTCTCTCTCTCTCTCTCTCTCTCTCACACACACACACACACAGTACAATAGCAGATCGCTCAATCGAATACTAGAAGTGCCTAGATTCTTCGATTCAGATTCTTTAACTCAGCTCTTCAACTCAGATTCTTCGACCCCATTCTTCGACTCAGATTCTTCGATCTCGTTCTTCGACTCACAGGCTCACAGCACAACAACAAATATTCGACTCTTCAGGTATTGCATTTTTCTCTCTCTCTCCACACATTCAATTTCTTCTTCAAGAATTAGGGTTTTACTTTCTACTTTGATATGATCAATGATCTCTAAGAACTCTTCAATTTTTCGATTGAAATTTGTGTATCACTTGTTTTTTGCAGGTATGGCTTCATATTTGGCCGAGAATCTGCTTCTGCTCGAAAACCCTCTCCTCATTCTTCAATTGATAACTTCCTTGCTTCTCTCTACTTGCTAGTCTGCTAATGCATTAAGCATTCTGTTTTGGCCAGTTTTGTTTCCCTTGTATTATATTGCAGAATTAATTAATTTCTATTTGTATAAATTTTGGCCTATTTCAATTAATTATGGTCTGGTAAAAAAAAAATAATTGTGGGCTTTAATTAATTGTGGGTTGTTGGTTTTGATGTTTAACTTTACAAGTTGTATATGAAATTGAATGTATTGGATACATGTTTGATGATTTTGGAAATTTTTATTTGATCTAATATGCATTAAACATTTTATTTTCACAATTAGATTAATTTTTTAGCCTATTTATAATTAGTTTTTATTTTTTTATTATATGACCAGTTCGACCAATGACCCATTAATTCGGTCCCTTCTTCGGATTAATGTTCATGCTGGGTTTTAAAACTATGCCACAAACAATTATTTGTACATGAAGAAATTGTAGAACACAAAAAATCAATAGTTAGAAATATTGAAAAAATAGATAAATATGGACCCACTATTTTGAAGAAATTGCAAAAAAAAAATTCTCTAAACATGAGTACGTAATTATATAATCAAGCCTTCATTTAAATAGAATGAATTCAAGTTTATCAATAGACTCTTGACTGAAGACACATTGTAAAACAAAAATATCTCCTAATAAATTCTATAAATCAAATAGGCAAAACTCTCATAAAAAGTGAAAAAATTCGTAATGACCAAGTAAACATATCAAAATTCATTCCCTTGAATTGAATTTGCCTTTTTAAGTTAAATTAAGTCAAACCCATAATACAATTGTGTAAATAGCTGTCAGCCATACGATCTGAATGACTTCTTCTAAGTCTGTCCAAACTTTTTGCATAACACCGTCAACCTAAGTTTGATAAAGGGCAAGTATTATCTATACAAAAGCGTGTTAAATATATAAAACTCATACACAAACTCGAAACAAATAGACATTTATTAAAAAATATGGGAAAAAGAAATGAATCTCCTTAAACAAAAAGTTTAAAAAATTAATAATTATCACATGTACTCCTGACCACTTATCATTTCAACCACCCATGTCCCAAAACTCTCACTTCTCATTCATTTAAGCCGAGAAAATTTTCTGTGCTCATAGGGTACCAAGCTGGCATACTTACATGATGCTCACTACCAATCAAAAGTGACCACGTCAACAAAAAATCAGAACATTGTCATGTAATTAAAATGGGCTAAGTTGGTAGACAGAAATAACGGCTTCGTTTGTTCCTCTTCTCAAGATTTTTTCTTTCCATTGCATTTCTTTCACTTTAGCCGTCCACAATATTGAATGGAGTCAGTATTTGCTTATTATTTTCCTTCAAATCTCTCTCTTTCACATCTCTAAGGCCATCTAATTTCTCTACCTCCATTCTACCATTTTTCTCAATAAATCATATTTTCCGGCATGAAAGGTATTTTTCTCTCTTATATTTTTATTATGGTTGTTACTTTTGTGTGGGTTGTGTCCTCTGTTTTTCAAGGTGTTGTGTGCATGTATGGTGTTTGTGTGGATTATGATGTGTATGTGCATGAGATGACTGCATCAACAAAATCTGTATGTGAACTGTGAAGGAATAGTCTGCCATGTGGGTGTTGTGTGCAATGTGCATGTGTAGTGTTTGTGTGGGTTCATGTATCTGTGTCATGTGTGTATGTGTATCAGCATGTCGGCATGGAAAAGATCAATTATTTTTTTGATTTAAAAATTTTAGTTGATCAATTTTATTATGACCTTAATTCTAATTGTTATTTTTATCTTTCAGCAATTATTTTATTAAAATTTCAACAATGACGGCAAGAAAAGGAAAAGAAATTGTACAACTTGGTATGTGTAATTTAAATTTTGTTTTGAGATACTTAGGATTCATTTTCGTTTCCAATTTTTTGTTTACAAATTGGTATGCATGGTATGTAGTGACAATGATAAATATTATTTGCACCACTAAAATAGTGTCTTTTATTATTTTTGAATATGTGTAGACCAAAGTGATGATGATAATAATGTTGAAGAGAACTATGGTTATGGCAATATTGATGTTCCAAATGGTGTGTTGAGTAGCCAAAGTAATGAATTTGAGTTAAAAGTTGGCGTGGTTGCATATAGTGAAGAAGAAGCTTTTAATATGTATAACAAATATGCATATAACAAAGGTTTCAGCATTCGAAGAGATCAAAAGAGTTTTAAAAGGAACACTGGTGAACTTATTCGTCGTAGCTTTGTATGTTCAAAAGAGGGGTTTAGGGAATTTACATATCCAACTCAAGTGAAGAAGGCGGAGAGGTTAGAAACTAGGTGTAGTTGTCGGGCTCGAGTGTTGTTTAAAGTGAAAAATGGTGTTTATACAATTAGTCAATTAATCACCGAGCATAATCACTCATTTGTTGAACCAAACCAAAGACATTTAATAAGGTCTGCACGTACAATGCATAACACAAGTAAAGGTGTTATAAAATCCATGACTGAAGCTGGAATAAGAGCAACCAAGACATATGCATACTTGTTAAATGAAGCAGGTGGTTATCAAAATGTTGGATTTACTGAGCGTGATTGTCAAAATTTTATACAAGTTGAACGATAAAAAAATATTGAAGCTGGTGATGGACAGAGTTTAATAAATTATTTCAAGCACAAGCAAGCAATAGAGCAAATGTTTTTTTATACTGTACAAGTTGATGAAGAGAATCGAATGACAAATTTTTTTTGGAGGGATGGATTATCAAAATTGGATTATGAATGTTTTGGAGATGTTGTAATTTTTGACACCGCCTATCGTACGAACAAATATAACATGATTTGTGCTCCGTTTGTTGGGATTAATCATCATTGGAAAAATGTATTATTTGGTTGTGCATTTTTATGTGATGAGACAACAGCTTCATTCGTTTGGTTGTTTGAAACTTTTTTTGAAGCTATGGATTATAAGGCACCCAAGACTATTTTTACTGATCAAGACCATGCGATGGCAAATGCCATCGCAAGGGTGCTTCCTAATACACAACATCGCTTATGTCAGTGGCATATCTCAAAAAATGTTGCTTCGAATATTTTTGGTCTTTATCAACAATCTGGTTTTAGGGAGATTTTCTCATATCTCTTGTATGAATGTGAAAGTGAAAGCGAATTTGAGGAAAAATGGGCAGAAATGATTGATAAATGGGGTTGTTTGAATGAGTCATGGCGTCGGAAATTATATGATCTTCATCGAAAATGGACTCCAGTCTTTAGCCGTGATACATTTTCATGCAACATTCGGGCTAGTCAAAGGAGTAAAAGTACAAATAATGTTTTCCAACATATGACATGCAAGACAATGAGTCATACTGAATTTGTGCATCACTATGAACAAAATGCTGAAAAGATGCGCGAGGCTGAAGTGAATAATGATCACAATTGTGCTCATGGAAAACCTCGTATTATTTCTTGTAGTAGTGGGCTTCTTCGACATGCATGTAAGGTATATACGCATAAAATATTTGTAGTGTTTCAGACGAGTTTTTGCAATCTCTTTCTGAAGTAGAAGTTGAATCCACTTGTACTGATGCACTGCACACGTATAAATTGAAAAGGGAGGGTGGTCATCATGAACACATTATACAGTTTAACTCTTCTGATTGTTCACTCTCATGTAGTTGTAAGCATTTTCAATCATTGGGATTGTTGTGCCGCCACGCATTGAGAGTTTTAAATTTGAATGGCGTCAATAAAATTCCCAAACAATATATATTGAGGTGGTGAACAAAAGTTGCAAAGCATGGGATTGTAATGGATAGATAGAATGTTCCACTATTGGATACTACTGGAAACTCAGCAAAAACAGTGCGGCTCAACAAGTTAATGTTCAAAGTCTTTAGTCTTATGAATTTGAGTGCTAATTCTGATGCCATAACTGAGATTGCAGATCATGATATGGACAATATATTTGAGAAAGTTATAAAATTTAATGCAATATCCAACGACAATGATACATTTGAAGATGATAGAAATATTTCTTTATCAAGAAATGAGACTCCAATATTGGATCCGCCGAGATTGAGAAAAAAAGGTCACACATATGGTCGAATGAAAGGTTTTCTGGAGAAGAAAAAAAATAAGTCTAAAAAGGCAGATGTGAGCATATCTCAAATACCACAACCAACTAATGCTATGGCAGGTAAAAATAATTTTTACAATATAAAATGAATACTTTAATTTTCCAATGAATACTTTAATTTTCTCTCTTTTTTATTCTAGGAATGCAATCATCTATGTTAGGTGCTTCATCTTTACATTCGTTTGGGATGCAAATGAGTGAAAACTACCAAAACCAGGTATGATAATATTTTTAAACGAATTTTTTATCCACATGAATCTTATATTTTTTTTGTCTGAAAATGTATTATTAAATTACTAATTGTTTCATTCTTTGTAGTTTGTTCGCATGTTTGGTATGACAACACCAAATGTTCATACAAGCATGCAAGTGACCAATTCGGTATTTTTGTCAAATGGTTATATACAATTAAAATAAACTCATTAAAGTCAGGTATGTATTTTGATTGTTATTATCTATTGTTGATACAGATGCAGATGTTTCAATACTCAAATATGCCTTTTACAAGTTTGTTACAAACAAACTTCCCTATGCCCCATTTAAGTCAGGTATGTTTCCAACATCTAACTTAAAGTATTTTCTTATGTACTACCTAAACTAACAAAAAAAATATGACAATCTTGCAGGGTACTTCCAACAATGTTATAGAAAGTTCAAATTCTCTCAATCTATCAGACATGAATCAAGAATTTGATCATAATAAATAGAATGTCTATTGAGTGAAAATTGTAGTGAATCCATGAGACGGTAGTTTTTTCTAGCTGAGATGTTTCAATTTGATTTGGTCAATGTTAGGTTAAGTATGAACAAAAATATTTCAATTTGATTTGGTCAATATTGATTTGCATGTATTTTTTTTTAATTATTGGATGTAATGAGATGCTGAGGCTAGTTGGTGAAAAATAAATATTGCATATCATTTCAAGGGCTGAGCTAAAACATGAATAGCAGTGGAAAGGTAAAATTATGAAAAATAAGAGAAGATAAGATTGTCAATAGGTGAAGAAAGAGGGGGTACAAATCAACGATTTTTAGATAAAAAAAGGCCAAAAAATGGTAGAGTAGGAGTTAATAATACATTTAGTGCAATTTTTAGTAATTTGGTGTAATTTTAAACTAATTAAATTAAAAAATTTTAAAAATATATTTGATAAATACATGTTTCTTAAAAATTTAATCGTCATGTTTCCTCTGTTAATAGATATACACATTAACAAAGATGTACAAGTATAAACAAATAAAATAGATCTAATAAATAACTTGGTGTAAAATCATCTAAAAAATGTCATTAACATAAGCGCTTATACAATAAGTGGTTGTGGAGCCCCTTTCCGTGCAAGAAAGGAGGCAGGACTCCAGTATGTAAAGGATGATCTCCATTGTTCCATGCCAGAAGCATCCTCGGTTCACAACGTTTCCACTGCCAAGTTTGAACAAGTATGTCCTGCAACTGATGGAAAAGAGTATAGTTTTAGTGCAAGTTGTCCCATTGCCCGTCCAATCAAAACTCTATATTTGGTTCCTTCATACCTCTATGTTTCTGATCATTGCACCGTCATCTGCCTGCCAATGTTTCCCATCTGCATCCAAGTGAAATGGGAAGTCGGAAACATAACGTGATGAAGAAACAAGGAGCCAGTCATGATCAAGTTTGTAAGCTTGATTCAAAATGGAAATGACCTCCGGCAAAACAATGGTTTCTAGATCGATCAGAACAGATATATCTGAGGTGCAAGCTTGTAGTCCCACAATAGCTGCAGAAACATTTATAAAATTTATTACTATATTCCTTCGACACACCACATTAAGAACCTCAAGAAATGACCGTCATAAATGATAACAGTCAAACTCATAAGGAGTATATAAAGCATTTAACCTACAAAATATGAAAAATTGCAATCAGAATGTAGCTAAAAAGAAAAATGCTAAAACACGAAATAAAACTAAGATTAGTGGAGGAGCAATATTACTCACCAGCATATATATATGAGAGTGAATGCATGATCACTGAATATGAGAGTGAGAGTGAGAGTGAGAGAGAAACAGAAGGATACGTATATGAGATAGCCTGAGAGATAGAGATGTGTGGGAGATGAGAGATAGAGATGTGTGGGAGATGGGAGTGTAGAATTAGACATGAGATGAAATTCTTAATTCAATTCTCCAGTGGGAAAATAAATTAGAGAGTAATTAGGATTAGGGGTATTCACCCTACTCTATGGATACGAAATAAAATCTTTCGTCTTCCTACTCGATACTTTGTGAATTTTTTTTTTTTTTTTGCCTACCTTACCTGATCATGTGTGGTATTCCTACCTGATTAATCGAGTAGGAATTCGAGTAAATATTTTTGTAGTTATTAATTTTTGAATCATTTTAATAAGTCAATTAAATAATATGCATCAATTTAACAACACAATAAATCAATGACACTAAAATCTAAAATAACTATAACAACAATTACAATAAAACACAAGAAAACATGAACATCAATTTATCATGATTGTTACACAACTACAATAACAATTATTTTAAATTTAAATTATATGAAACATATTAAAATTATAACTGCTCTAATAGATCACTAGTTCACAACAAATCATGTAACCTACGTAAAAAAATAAGTCAATGTTTTAGAAACTCAAACATCCACAATAATAGCAATATTATAATATAAATCATATTACACAAATACTCTTATAATTACTAAAAAATATATAAAAAATTTAAATATATTTTTTGCGGATAGGAATGCGGAAATTGATGGGTATTTCGCATTCCTACCAGATTTAATCGGAAGACCAAAACCTCTTCTGCATTCCTATCCGATTTTTGCAACTAACCATTCAATAAGGTAGGGTAGGTTCGAGTAGGGTAAGAAATTGCATCCAATCGAAAATTTGAATACCTCTAATTAGGATTGTTGGATCAATAATTTTAAAGCGATCTCGGCCACGAAAAGTTAAAGACATGTAATGCTAACTCCCTTATTATATAAACTAGCAATATACCACGTGTGTTGCATATGAATAGTTTTCATGCAGAAAAGTTGATATAATACATTAGTATATGTGTATCTTAATTAAATATTATCTCAAATTTATCAGACTTAATTTTTCATTACTCATATTCTATTATAGGATTATGAAAACTTAATATATTTCTAAAATTCGTTATTCTAATTATTAGAAAAAAATAAAAAAAAATAGTTAAAGTACTATTTTTTTTTTAGAATTTTGTGATTAAGAGTGACTTTTTAATAATGTTTGATAAATTAAATTTTTTGAAATTCATTCAATTAGGATTTCACTTATAATTCATTGAATAAAATAAAAGTAATTGTCAATATATTACATAACTATATTGAAACTTTAATATAATTAAAAATTAGTTAGATCAATTAGAATAAGATTGAATATAATACTCTATAATATATTTTAAAACATACCAAAATTTTAAAAAAATCAAGTTTTACTTTAGAATAAACTACAAACTATTTTCACATAAAATTTTAATATAACTTAAAAAGTTTATTGTAAACTAAAAAATTATATTGATGTAGCATAAATTAATTTTAAAAAATTATATATATAATTATTTTTTATCTTAGAAATAAAATGGTTAAAATTTTTAAATAAAAAAAAATATATATGCAAATAATGTTATCTTTTCTTTGCATATGAGATGAGTAACATTAAATTGATGAAATTTTTAAAAGTGTTTTGAACACTTTATTGAAAATGTAATGATGCATATTTTTTAAAGATAATAATGCATATTTTTTAAAGATAATAGAGTCAATCAAAAAGTTTCATAGAAATTGATATTTATAGAGAGAGAATAGATAATTAAAAGAGAAATTAGAGGTAATTGAGAGATTGAAATACATAAGGAGATAATAGATAGTTTAGATATTTAATTGTGAAATGATAGGATGGTCTTTATAATTTTTTATAAGGGTAAAATAGAGAATCAAAAGTTTTTTATATTAATATACTTTTATTAGTAGTATAGATATAGATATAAATTATAAGAGATCAAATTGGAGATGATTGAGAGCATTTTAGTCCAAACATTTAATATTATTGAATAACTTACCTAACCAAATATTATTAGACTTGATACTTATTATCCAACTTTTAGTCTTGTACTTTACAACGCTTGATTAAAATTAATATTATCTTTATTCTCTGTTTAATCTTAAATTTTATCCATGTATTCAAGATTATCCTATATTCCCTAAATATAGGATAATGTTTGACAGATCCTAAGTTGACGATGTAGTCGGCTAGTGGGGGATTATGTTTGACAGATCCTAAGTTGAGGGGTTAACGATGTAGTCGGCTAGTCGCCCATGTGGTGGGAGACTTTGAACACCACTCTTATCTCTTGATTTTCCTTTTGCTTACGACAACTCTAATACTGTCCACTTTATTATTGCTCCTCAAAGGCCTCCTCCCTCAGTACCCCAAAAAAAAAAAAAAAAACAGAAGAATTATATTAAGATCCCTTAAGATTTGTTATTTAATTACTTAGATCTTTTGATATTTGAAATATTACATACAACCTCTTGAACTTTATACGTGTGTAATATTTAGATATCTATCGTTAATGTCAGTTACTATATTACTTAGTAAATTAGATTTAGACCCCTTGAAATTTACAAGTATAAAACACTGAGATCTCTTAAATTTAAAATATTATACTTAAACCATTTATTTGTTAAAAGAAAAATGAAATCTATTAAACAATCAAATTAAAGATAAAAGATGTTGTGTCTATTATAGTTTGACCATTTATTTAATAGATTTTTATTTTTATTTTATTTCAATAAATGACATAATAGAATATAAATTTTAATTGTTAAATTTAAAATATTTGATATTCTATCTTTGATTAGAGTATTTTTTGTTTAACTGTAATATTTTAAATTTAAAAAATCTAAATATCATAAACTTACAAACTAGAAAGAATTTAAATATAATTTTCTGACGACGGGAAGAGTTGCGTATTGTTCCATAAGAGCTCTTCCGAACCTAATTTCCTCCCCCTAATATTGTCCACGTTGTTATTGATCCACAATAAATTACTCTAGACAACTCTTATTTTCTCGCTCTATGCCTTTTGCTTACGACTCTATACCATTTCCTCCCACTCTATTTGACCCACTTCCGATCTTCTCTTTCCCTCAACTTGGTCCTTCCTCTCTCTCTCTCTCTCTCTCTCATATCATATTTTCACTCCCTCCCTCTCTCAATTATCCCCATCTTTCCTTTCTTTCTCTCTTATTACCATATTTTCGTCCTCTCTATTTAAACCCATTTCCATCTTCTCTTTCCCCCAACTTGGCCTCCTCTCTCTCTCTCTCTCTCTCTCTCTCTCACACACACACACACACCCCAATCCCAGTTATGGACAAGAAGGCAATGGAGCCAACTGAAAGTTTCAAGTTAAATTCTTACAAGGAGTGCAAAGCTGAAACTAAAAGCAGCAATATCAACATGTACCCTTTCGTGACTCCAGTCCGAGGAACCATCAAGCGCGGGATCTTTGCCAGCCTCATCCGTAACCTGAAGCTGGTCTGCAGTTGCTTTTAAGGCTGTGGTCAACCATTGTTTTCTATAACACAACTACCTTTACTTGAATGTAAGCTTAATTAATGGGTATATCAGTCCTCAAAGTGCATAACAGACAAAAAGTCTCTGATTATTCCCAAAATCACTTGTGTAATTCAAAATATCAAACCCATTTGAGCTTTTATTAACAGTTAGCTTACATTACATAATTTAAATTAGACATATTCGTGTGTTGTGAATTTGTGCATGTTTATAAAAATAAAGAGAGAGAGAGAGAGACATTAAACAAAGATTTGGAGGCTTGGAGCCCTTGACAGCTTATTACAAACACATGCAGACCACTTATTACAAACACATGCAGACCATCGGGTCTGAACGAGGAATGTAATGGTATCGATAACAGTATAAGAGGCATGGGGTATAACGGTATTACGTAGCAGGAATAGAAATCGGAGTCGTGAATTTTGTTAATACATTCACAACTATTGGCAAAAATCAAAATTTCCATATATTTGGATCAAAGTAAATAAATTCAGTTTTTTGTAATTTATAATATTTTTTAATATATTAATGATTTTGGTATGCTAAATTGCTTAATTAATCCAAATTTATGGTAAATGAAATAAAATTAGTCTAACTAATTAATATTTGTTTATTTGAAAATTTTATTCACAATAGTAAATAGGCAAAATAATTGGTAGATTTAGATCATCGAGATAAAATAAAAATGTTTTGCAATTGCCAACAAAAATTATTAGCTGTAAAATTTGTGCAAGAATGCCCCGCCAACTATAAATTTTTACTCTGTTTAAATCCACTCTTTCATATTTATAAGGGGTAAAAATCGTTACGGATCTCATCCCTCCACTTGAAAGATTTCGGCTGATCTGACGGCTCCGAGCCCCAGTTGTCTTTACCTCTCTTTGTCAATAGGACTCTTTCCTAAGGTAATCCCACATCGGAAGAGAGTCGTCTCCCCCCCTTGCCATATAAGTGAACACTTCCTATGGAGGAGGTACGCACTAGCTGGGTACCTCCTCTTTTGAGTGTAAGGGCTTATATGCGAGGGGGGAATACGACTCTCTTCCGATGTGGGATTGCCTTAGGAAAAGGTCTTATTGGCGAAGAGAGGTAAAGGTTACTGGGGCTCGGTGCCGCTAGATCAGCCGGAATCCTTTAAGTTAAGAGATGAGATCCGTAGCGATTTCTACCCCTTACTTCTTACAACATTATTAAAGAACATGGCACTTGTCATTTGTTTATTCACTAAATTTGTTGATAATGCATCAACAACCATTCCTTATATTGGTTGTAAAAGAATATGTAACACTTGATTTTTACCGTTACCAAAAGCCTGCCAACCATGACAGCCAGTCCTTTCTCAACCCACTTAACGTCGTCTCTATTATCCAGGTCACGTCTTTTT